TAATTATTTAGTTGAGGAGATGAAACAGAAAGCATTGATATAAATAAATGGCAATCGGCAATTGAAAGCTGCAAATATTTGGGCTCCACTATACAAACGAACGGCGCAATCGAGAAAGAGATAAAGAGTAAAATTAATCAAGGATGGTTAAAGTGGAGATCTTTATCTGGAGTCTTTGACAAAAGAATCTCACACAAATCGAAGGGAAAAATTTACAGTTCCTTAGTATAACCAACTATTCTATATAGTTCGGAAACATAGCCAACCAAAAAATCATAAGAGAAGTCTACAAACTATGAAGATGAGAATGCTGAGGATGATTGCTGGAGTATCAAGAAAGAATAAGGTGTGAAATATAAGACTAGGAAGTTTAAAAGTACTAAGACTAAGATAATGGTGAACAGACGTAGGTGGGATACACAATGAGAAGGCGTATGAACTATATAGGAAATAAGGTTAAGAGTTTGGAAGTGATGGGCAAACGTAAAAGAGGAAGGCCAAAACTTCAATGGGGCCATAAAGTTAGAGCCAATATGAAGAAATATAAATTAGATAAAAGAGATAGCATGAATAACATAAAGTGGAGAGAGATATTGAATGAGGTTACCACCAGAAAAGGTGAAAGCTAAAAATAAAAATTTTATTAGTAACTACAATAAACTAGACCTAAGACTTGGGTACATGTCATATCTGTATTAGACGTCTGCATTGGACGGGTTTTTAGCCAGTCTGCTGTAGGCGAGCGGGTTAAAATTTTTTAAAAAAGGGGCGGGCGGGCGGGTGAGCGGATTAAAAAATTTACAACTTTTATTTGTTATTTAAAATTGAAATTTCACCATTTAATACCAATGCATCAATAACCGAGGATATGGTCGTCGGAAGAAATTAATTATGTAAAAAATATATCGAAAACATTGGATTTGATCATGAAAGAATATAACATCAACGTGGATGAAAATCTGATTTTGCCCGTTTCCCCAAAAGCAAAGAGAATTCAATTAAAGTATTAAATTACAAATGAAATGTTTGATATTTAAATCATAAAATAACGAGTTTTTGAATAATTTAGCAAGATTTTAGAATACTTAGTTTAGTAAGTTTACAATTAATAAACAATTAATTTAAATTACTTTTTTAAAATTATTATTAATGGTTTCACTTTTTATTTAAATTACTTGAGTAGAGGATTTACTTCAAACTAATTTCCTACTTTGATGGAAACGAAAAGAAAAATATTTATCAAAGCTATTAAGATTAGCTAAAAAAATATTGGCAATTCTAGCAAACAGTCTGAACGAGGAATTAGTATTTCTGAAAGGTTTTTAGTATCAATAAATATGAATGTTATGTTATTATATAAATATTTATTTAGATCAAATAAATTCCTTAGCCGTAATTTAAATTGAATTTTTTGAGCTTTATAGAGTTTTGGTGGAATAAGAAGAATAAAGAGAAATTGTTGGGAGTAACTTAAGCAAGAATAGATTTTAAGATCCAGAAAGAAATGATAAGGACAAGATAGGAACAGAGTAAGCAAGTCGGTCAATTGACCAGTCAATTAACCCGAAGAGTATTTGACCTGGCCAAATACGATCAAATACTCTAAAAAAAATCTGATGAAAAAATAAAAAATATGTTTGACGATATAAATACATGTGATCACAATGCTGCTTATTTATTGAGTCCCCAATATCAAGGGGATCATCTCACTAGTAACGAATTTAATGAAGTAAGTAATATAATCTAAGAATTAGGCATTTTACAAGTTGCTAATGATTAAAATATTTCAAATGATATCATAAATTCAGAAGTAAAGGCGGCATGTTAATAGGAAATTGTGTGAAAATCAGTAACTTCCATAAGAAACAATCAGATTCTGGTAAGTTAGTCGAATGAGCTTTGCTCACACTGCTCATTAAGATAAGTGACATTTTACTAACCATTCTTAGTTCTACTTCTTCTTCAGAAAGAAATTGATCTATTTAGGTTAATTTTCTTAGTAAAACAGAAACCGATTGAAGATTTCGACCGGAAAATTGATTAAAAAATATTAATTAAAGAAAATGATAATATTAAATATGAATCAGAATAAAACTCTGCCATGGAGAGCTAAAAATTAATTATTGAATGACAATTAATTTCAAAAATATTAAATATTAATATTATATTTACTATTATATATAAAATAAAGTTAATATTGACTTAAAAATCTAATTTGAATTTAACCACATTTGCGAGGTCAAATATCGGTCAATTGACAGAATATTGGATCGATCAAATATCGGTCAATTGACAAAATATTGGATCGATCAAATATCGGTCAATTGACCGAAACGTATTTGACCGGTATACACAACCCTGAATAAGAGATGCGGATAATATTAGGGATAGACTTACGAAAAGCCGTTTTAGGGAGTTTTGCTATTTGAAGCCAAGGTGTTATGATTATATCTGAAAAAAAGTTGAAAACAGTACAAAAAAAAAAGATTTATTGAAAAGTCCAAAACATATTAAGACGGCTGATCGAACAAAATTTTTTGATGGTCATACTTATACTTTCTGATTTATTATGTTCTCTTTTCTTTTATTAAATTAAGAACTATAATTAGAATTTCTACGTGGTTGACAAAGTAATTAGTGATTTATATTTTACTTAATTTCTTAAAAATGCCTTTTATATATATTTATCATTAATTTTTAAAAGTCTGGCTTATAAATACAAATGAACGGGTCGGGTTCGAGGACCGTAAATTTAAATTTGCAAGGTACCTCGGTAAAATCACATTACTTTTTGGATATTTTGTGACCTGCCTAATTCCACTAGTGTTTTTAGCTAAGTGTATGCTTGAAAAGTAAGCACTAATTTTGGAAACTTCGCATATAATTTTTTGAATATTTACATCCAATTTTTTAAAAATTAGCACCCATTTAAAAAAATGTATTATTATCATATTTAAATATTAAAAAATATATTATAACGTTAATTTTAATTTTAATGAAATGAATTTCCTTGTAGCGATATAGATAGTGAATATTATTATATAATATTTCATTCTCAATGGATATAGGATCTAACAAAAGGCAAAGCTTATTGTCATAACCATGCCAAAATGGAAAGATATATAAAGAACATGATGTTTTAGAGTTATTTATAATAAGGTAATATTGCTGATAAAATTATTTCATAAACTAAAAGAAATAGTGAGAGGCATGAATATATGTCACTTGTCATAATTTTATTATGTGCAAAACTCGAATAGTCTTTTAGAGATACTTACGAAAAAAAATAGATAGCATCAATAAATGAAGATAAGCTTTCAAGGTAAATGATAATTCTTACATAACTCTCTTCTCCCTTCTAATGCCCATTATTTATTTTCTAATTCATAAAATAATTTCTTTCATTTCCAAGAATATTACTCAACTAATAATGATGAATATAAGTGACTGGCTATTATTCTATAATGGCTGATGATACAAATGATTGTAGTTCTCATGAACAGTTTAGAATATGTATAAGATATGCTAAGAATTTGAATCCAAGAGTTGTTTATAGACTTTGGAAGATTTTCGATTAGATTCTGGCTCTTAACAAGTCCTACTATAAAAACCAATTTTGGATCAATAGATGGGGCTAGTATCACGCAGGATTTTTTTAGGTATAACAACAGTTTCTAAATTAAAAGCATAGTAAAACTTTATGTTTTCATTACTATGCTCATCTTGTTCTTGTATCAACATGTTTCTCCTTATTCTTGGTCCAAAATTTATATTATATTTCCAAAATTATTAATTAATTTTTCTAATTCAGTCATTAATTTTAATTAATCTATTATTAAAAAAAATTTAAAATTAAAGGCTAGAAAAAGATGCATTTAGATCCACTGTTGGGGATCTCAAATATGCAATTAAAACTGTTAAAACTATAATATTTTATTTGCAAAAGGTGGAGATATTGTTAAAGCCAAGATTTATTAGTCTTAATAATAAATTTTGACGCTATAATGGACCTTTTTATTTTAAATATTATCTTTTTCTGTAAATATTACCTTTTCTATAAATATTATCTTAAATGTTTCAAAATATTTATAATCTGCATCATATCTGCAATAATCATTATGTATGATTTTAGAAATTGAAATTCTTAGAGCAGATACTTATTTTTCTAAAATCTTTGTTTACCTAATTTTACTAGATAATATATATATATAGCAAGAGAACTTTAAAAAAGGCCTATTATATTCATATGATCAATGCGGTGAAGTTGTTAATACTGATTAATATGAGTTTGATAAAGATTCATATAGAATTAATGATTATTACATTCTGATTAATAATTTGAGTTTGAATTAAAAAGAAGATGTGAAAATATTGAAAGCCATGAATTATTTTAATCTTTTTTCCAAATATTGCTGCAAATAATATCCAACCCCTTTATTTCACACTGATATTCTTGATCCAAAAGAAGAATTTTATGTTAAAAATAATTTTTTTGGATCAGAATAAGCTTAATATAAATCGATTTTGAATATAATTAAAATTATCGGTAAGCAGGTTGAGTCTCGTTCATAAACTTGTTTAAAGATTCCAATACCCATTCCTTTTCCTTTCTTTTCTTGTTCCTCGAAGTATTTCTTTTTGGCATTAAACTAGGCTAAAACATATAGGTAGACATGGGGCAATAACGCTAAAGCTTATTAAATAGAATTGGTAAAAATATATCAGATAAAATTATTGATAATTAGGGGAGACCGGGGTTATATGGCAGATGTAGTAAAAAAGCAAAAGTCTATAACTATTTTTCTCTAGGACTAATTGTTCCAAATTTAATCAAAAGATATATTACTAAGCATACTATTTATCTATTTATTATTTAGAGATCCACATTCAGAAGATATTAACTTTTTTATTTGGCATTTTTTGTTTTGAGCAAAAGTATACTATATCAAGTTTTATTATATTTTTAGAATATATAACTCCATGTCTACGCTACTGAATAAACTTGTTCCAATAGTTTATCTTGAAGAATTGCTTGAGCCATTTAAGTTAACTGACTACCCCTGGGGCTATATGGCAAGGGGTAAAAAGACAATGTGGAATAAGAATCTTCCATGGAAAAGATCCTATAAAATTTTAAGCAGGCCTGTGGAATCTACAACACAGTTAAATATATAAATTATATTATAGCCCACTCACTTGATTAGCACTATAGGATAACATATATGTTACGAGGAATGATGTAAGATCTTCACTGAAATTTAATAGGGGCGGAAGTAAAATAAGAAGAAAGAGGAAGAAAGGGGTAGGATATAGTTTTTCTAAGCTAATTTTGATGATTTCGATTCCCTATTTTGATATTTATTCTTTTACTCTTACAGACTTTCCATCTTACCAGGGTCGTGGTAAATAGCAAAAAACACGTCTCTTCTTAGTCCTAAATAGTGTACAATGAAAGGTAAAAAGTTTATATTCAATTTATTATATAGTCTAATTATGAGGTTAAACTATAATACAATTTGTAAATCTTTTAATAAAATTTTTTTTTATCACAAATGAGCAAAACACCTGTCATATAACTCAGTTCTCCCCTATGCAGAAAATTCTAACAGGCGATATTCTCTATAAAAAATAATTACTTATTACTAATATTTTTATACAATAATTAATTTTAGTGTATATCAAAAGGCTAACTATTCTGATAATATTTATAAAATTATTTAGGCAAAATATTCAGATTGCGAAGCGAGAAGGAATATGGAACATCATTTTGTGATTTGAGTTTTTCAGGAGGATTTATTAAGGCCAGAAAGATGGAATGATGGTATAATGGCTGTTTTTAGATATTAGGTTATGCGACGTAAAATTGGTTATTCGAATCTATTCATTTATATGCTAAATCCTAATTTTAAATTCTGACAAGGCCAGGGTCCAGTTTCTCTAGTTATAATAATCACCAATTTTTAAAGTTACAGGGCTTTAAATCAATTTTAAACTACATACGTTTTATTTGTTGAATCATTTTTCAATTTATAAGTTTTTATAAATATAAGTAATATTAATTTTTATAGTCATAATTTTACAGAAGGTACTTAACACCCCCTACCAATAACAATTTACCTCCTTATTCCCTCCTACCCCCTAACCTCTTCCTACTTCCTACATATTCTTAACCACTTTCTTTTCTTACCCACTAACAAATCAAAATAATCAAAATCCCCTTTAAATTTCAATGACTGCGTCCCCCCTCCGTGGTAAAAATCTACGAAGGCAATATTATATAATATTGTAATATTTAATTTACTTTTATCTATATTTTTACATCCCAAAAAACAATGTTTTTACACAAGCAATCAATCGTGTATCTCAAATCTTTATAGCTGCTATAGGCCTATTCAAAAACGAATACGAATTCTAATAGGTCATTATTCGTATTTGATTCATTTAAATAAATTGAATAATTTATTATTCGTATTCGTACGAATTATAAAATTTACTATTTATTTTCGATTAGAATTATTCGTTTAAAAAAAAATATTATAAAATAATTGGTACGGCGAAAATATATTGAAATAATTTATTGTTTTATATTGCATATCTAGCTAGTTTTAAACAAAAAATTATTACAAATAATCTGATAATAAGCCATGAGATCAAGTTATTAAGGAAATTAAAATGCATATTAACTTAATTGATATTGCCAGACCAATTTTTAAAGCAAAGAGTTTTTCTTATAAGACATTAAATTTATGAGAAAATTAGTTCCATAAAAAAGTCTTTCCATTTATGTATACCTTCCTAATCAAATCACTCATTAGACTGATAAGTTATTAATAGAAATAACAAATAATTAAATTTAAAAACATATTATTAACTATTTCGAATAATTCGATCGAATAAACAAATTAGTCGAATCCTTTACGAAAATAATTAGTTGATAAATATTCGAATTATTCGAATTTCTAATAATTCGTAGAATTTACGAATTATTCTAATAATTTGTTACTCGTTTTATTCGAATCGAGTATCTTTATTCGTATTCAAACAAAACGAATAATTAATTATTCGTATTCGTTATTATTCGATTGTCTTTGAATAAGCATAGCTGTCATATAATGTGATGGATGTGCAATCAAATTTATGATAATTTTGGTTATGATATGAAAAAATTTGTTTTGCTAATAAAAAATTTTAGATGCGTTTTTAGTAAAAAATTTTATAAAAATCTAACGACGGCCCTTTCGGATCCCGCCAAAACATAGCACAGATATTACCAAGGATTAGTTTACATTTAAAAAAATGACCATGTGTGACTATCCATTAGTTCTTAGCAGTTATTTATTGTTGCTTAATATTAAGACTCATCAGATAATTTATTTCAAAACCCATGCATTTTTCACTGAATTGAATAATAAATAAAGGTTAAAAACATTCTAAGAGTATCAATCTTTATTTTAATGTTAACTAATTATTATAGTCTTTGCAATTTATTATAAATACAAATTAAATTTTTTAAAATCTTTTATTTTGATTTATTAGATATACTATATAACGATATATTATATTAATTAATCAAAGAGACCGTCCAATGTTTCTCTCAATTTTTTTCATCTTATATTTGATTGTGATCTTAATTTTCAGATTAAAAAAGTATAATTATTTTAAGTTCAGTTCTTCTTCAATTTAGTTTATTTTACAGTCGGCGCTTTTGTAACCTTCAAAATATAGGGACAAAAAAATACACAGGTATTATTGGTATATTAAATACTTTAATTAATTAGTTATCAATCAAAAAAATATCAATTACAGTACCATAATATATATATACATATATATAATGTGAAAAGATAAAAAAATATATATATACCTTACCTTATAAAAAATCATAAATTCAATACATCAACTTTTTCAAAAGGGCAAAATAAAGTTTTATTTATATCATCTTTCCAAAAAATTACTATAAATAAAAATTAAAAACTATCTTTTTAAAAATGAGGTTTAGTTTTTTACATAAATTTTTAATTATTTTATTTATATTGAGATGCATTTAATAAATTTTTTTATATATTGTCTTATTTAAAAGGTAAACGGATGTAAGGATTATTTTATCAAAATACTTAATTCGTTAAACAAACCAAACTGCCTAATCTGAACACTAAAAAGATGGGAAATAATGGCTAAAAATCATAAATGTCGTTCTAATTATCGTAGAAGTGTTTTACCAATTATATAACTAATGAATATAAAATCTTTTATTGTTGTACCCATTAAATCAAATTCAATTGCTAGATTGTATAATTAAGGTTTACTGTTAAATTACCTGTTTGGTTTATAAGATTTAAACATGTTATACAAAATGTATATGCGTAGATTGATTTGATGATTTTAAAATGTTTTATATAATTTTCGAAAAAATGCCTTTTATTTTTTTTTAACTTTTATTGTGGGTCACTTTCAATTTTATAAGTTAAGTTCAATAAAATCTCGAAAGATGAACTATAATGTTACAAAGTTACAACGCCCTCTATCCCCCACTCTTAAGCCAATAATGATGATCCAGATGAAAACATCTTCTCCCTCTAAGGGTAACCCTATTTTAGTTTCCTTTTTAGTCGGTACAATTACTAAGGCGTTCTTACAGCTTGGCCAATATATATAAGGCCTCTCCTGGAAAATAATGGATCATTAAATTGGTGTATAAGTTTCTCAATATGATTCATTTCGAAGAACCTCTAAAAATATTCTAGTTCTTGTTAACCGAAATGATGTCCAGCTATCTATTAACCTCTACGAATAATACTCATATATTGGTTTGCGTTTAATTATCTATGGGAGGGGGCATATGTTTATTTAACCATGTCGTATGGGTGACTATTATAACTGCAATTTTCTAATAATGCTTTAATGTGTTTTAAATATTTATAATTTGTTGTCTAGACTGTATTATAAAAATATTTAATGGAAATAATTAATATGCATGAATTGCACAAGAATATGCAATATTGCAAATATGACTTACAAAATAATTTAAAAAAATTAGGGATAAAGGATGCATTTTTTAATTTCTAAAAGCCTTTTCGTTGGAAATGTATTCCATGTGTAATATATATATATATACCTAAAAATTATAATCTAAATGGAATTTTCCCAAAATCATAGATAAATTTTCTGAAATTAGAACAAAGGATGAGATACAATTCAGCCAAAATAGGCGTTTTAAATCAAAAATGTTTGTTATAGATGATTGAAATTTCAAAATATTCATTTATAGGGGAGACGAGGCTATATCGCAGGTGTCGTAAAAAAGCAGAGCCTATAACTTTATCATCTTTGGAAGTAATTGACTCAGATTTGTCAAAAGATGCATTTCTTTACATACTATCTACAATCGTTTATTTAATAATGGGGTATCCACATTTAAAAGATGATCACAAACAATTTTTTCGCATTTCATCATCTTTTTTTGGTATTTTTGCTTAACTTTTTAGAATTTTATTAAATTTATCGGATGTATTTCTAAATGTCTAAGCTACCGATTAAACATGACCAACTCTTCTACCTAGACTAATTCACTACTTTGGTGCTATTCGGCATGAGATAAAATAACAAATTTGTAAAGCAAGAATTTCATATCCTAAAACCACGACAACTCAAAATATTTTTAATCAGGCAACTGTCTAAGAAATATATCCATTATATCCTGATATTTCTACATATTTAAATTATTAATTCTAGATCCAGTAATGAAACCAGTACGATATTCGATATTCACATTCCTAATGATATTTAAAGAAAGCTTTGATTGAAATTTTGAAATAGCTGATGAATATATAGATGACTTACTATCTAATCATGTGATATTGAAACACTATTAAACTAATATAATAATCCTTCATGTTGTTATAGATTCATAAAAGTGTGCTGCCAAGATTTTATATCCTAATAGATTAAAAAGGGAAAATATCGTTAGATATGATTACTGCATCTATATAAAAACTATTATAATGCTAAAAATATAAAAAATACAAATAGGATTGGAATTATGTAGTATGTTGCTTAAGTTTTAATAACAGTAAAAACTAACTACGAATGGCTTGCTATTTAATCCAGGCCATTGGTAAATAATAAAATTCACGACTTTTATTTAATATTAAATAGCGCCTCCACAATAAAAGATAGGGGATCCGGGATTTTTATTTTGTTCTGGAGTCTAATGGGGCTTACAAATTAAGCTTTTGCAATTTTTATTTTATTTCAAAAGAAATAAAAAAAAACATAGGAGCTTGTTTAAATTGAGATGATATTGACAATTTAAAATAAAAAATGAATCGCAAACTTATATGTGATTTTTTAATATGATATTTGACGCACGAAATGACGCCAATTTGAACGATATCAATTGTAATTAATTATTTACGATTTAAGATAGCGTCAAAATCGCCCAATTTTAATGACTGTATAATGATGAGACGATCCAACGATGCATTTAGGTTAATCTTATAAAATAAATTATACATTTTATCATAAAAAAGCATCTGCCATATAACCCCGGTTTCCCTACCTTATGCCATATATAGTTAACATTTTTCATAGGAGCATACTTTTTTTAATGATATAATCCACATAGATGTTTTCTTTAATCAATTACAATGACACAATTCATAACTCTGCAGAAACCTAACTGAACAGTGAAGGAATTCTTAATTTGCAGAATCGAACTATAAATAAATATACTTTCAATTTATAAAATGATCTTAATAATTATCAATATCAATTGATTATATAAACTCAGTTTTTCGCCGCCGAACATTTGTAAAAAAATATAAGTAGTTATTCTGTTTTTTGCCTCCCACAATAACAATAAATTTTTATTCTTTAT